GTGCCGTGGACACCGATCTGTCACAAGCGGTCCGATCACAAGCACGTAATATTACGTCGTCCGCACAAAGTGCAAACATGCGTAGAAATTAGCGATCACAACCACGCAATATTACCTGGTCCGCACACAGTGGAAACATGCGAAGCACGTAATATTCGATTATTACGTTTACGTTGTACCCATTCACATCTATCTATATTCTAACTTTTGAGTCCGTATCATCAACCAGTACATAGCATACAATAAAACGTTTCTGTGTGGGTGTGTGTATTTCACTGTGTACTTGCCAAACAAATGGTTAATGTACGTGTTACGTGTAAGCATGATTGCACATGTATTTGTATTGACATCTCAACCATAAAAAACAAACATGTGCAACAACTAAACTCTCCATATAACACCTTACACATAACACTACTGCACTGGTAACACATGTATCACAATCACTAAGCCCGCGCGTAGCGCGGGTTTCAGCTAGTAATAATAATAACAAGAATAGCAACAACAACAACAATGAGAATGCTCATTATGACAGTGTACGGCGACGATGTAAACAATACGAACGCGTAAACAACGAGACGGTGTAAACAAAGCGACGGTGTAAACAACGCGACGCCCGCACCTGTGCAGCTTGCGGTGGAAGCGTTTCTGCTCGGGTGTCGTCATGTCCTCCAGCTTCTCCCGCAGGGTCCGCTTCTTCGTCTGCGAGCGCAGCGCGAGCCAGTTCCTGCGCTTGCTCGCCGTTATCGATCGGTCGGCGTGCAGCTTGCAGTACGCGTAGAACGGGTCGGCGATCTCCTCGTAAGGCAGCGCCTGCGGTGGGGGACGTGAGAAACAATAATAACTAACAAGGCCGTACGCAGGAAATATTCTGTAGGGGGGCAAAGGTACTCCCCATGCCCCCTGTGCGCTAACGTTTCGCAATTTCACTTTTCTTTATTTAAAGTGTAATATTTCTTTGATGATCACATTTCTATTTTATTTCTAAAAGTGTACAGTATTTGCCCCATTAAAAAGCATACTCTGAAAAGCTCTAGGGGGGAAACTGCCCCTGCTGCCCCCCTGCTGCGTACGGCCCTGATAACTAATATAATATATATATAACGCCTGAGCTCTGGCTGCCCGACGGATATCTCGTAAGGCAGTGCCTGCAGAAACGCGCGTGCAGGCACGGGGATGTGAGGAACGGTGAGAGAAATATACACGCCCTGCCAGTGTACTACCAGTTCAAAACCAGGCACCAAACTTGAAAGAACATAAAGAAGAAAAAATTGCTCTAAAAAGTTATTCTAAAAATCTGCTTGTCCAGCGGACAAGCTACTGGACATGTCTACTTGTCCTCCGTGGAAATGGACAAGTGAGGACAAACGGATAGCCCTTATTTCGAACACTGGTCATGCAGCCAGAGTATATCACTTCCCTACCCCACCTACTATCACTTCCCTAACCCATATATCACTTCCCTACCCCACCTATCACTTCCCTACCCCATATATCACTTCCCCACCCCATATATCACTTCCCTACCCCTATTACCACCTCTCTATCCCCATGTACAGCTCCCCTACCTCCAGTAATGCACGATGACGAGCACCTACCTCGGACAGCAGGCCGTGTCGCTGCGCGCACGTCACGTGGAAGTAGTTACGGCACATGCCAGCGTCGCATCGGATGCAGACGCCGCAACGATTCAGCTTCTCATCCTCACAGAGTCCGCACTCCTAAAGCATCATCATCATCATCATCATCATCATCATCAGCAGCAGCAGCAACAACAGCAACAGCAGCAGTAGTAGCAGCATCATCACCATCATCATCATCATCATCATCATCATCATCAGCAGCAGCAGCAACAGCAACAGCAACAACAGCAGCAGTAGCAGCAGCATCATCATCGTCATCATCATCATCAGCAGCAGTAGCAGCAGCAGCAGCAGCATTGCAGTGTAGGCGTCACCACCGTGTGCACAGCACAGCGCGCAGAATGGATAGTTAGCATTAGTGCACCGAGATAGACGATGCACAACTGACAGTGAGAGGTGCAAAATGCACGCTACAGAGCACGACAATGTAGAGCAAATAGTTCACGGTACACGATGATGATTGAACAATAGGGAAACCATAGGGAATAGTACAGAATATGTAACATGCAGTACGTGGTGCGTGCAGCAGTACGTGCTGCAAAGCAGAAAGAACAGTGAAGATGTACACTAGCGGTAGTGTGTCCTATTTCTGCGTGCTATATTTTTACATACCCGCTGACCAAATCGGGAGTAAGGCATCTCGTAGAGGGTGATTCGTGTGAGCTTGTCGACGTCTCCGAAGGCAATGCCCTGCACGTACAGGGCACAAACGAGATGCACCCACCTGGCACAGCACACAAGAAACGGCACGTGAAACCACATATATGAAACACACTATTTTTTCACTTATTGGTACATAATGAAATTCTGAACTCATCTGAACACATTTTCGCATTAAGTAAAGTTTTCAGCGGAAATTTAGCAAAAAGCGGCATCAACGAAATACTCACTTTCTTGTGTCGGTCTCCTTAAATAGTCCGCCCAAGTTTGGACACAGTTCACAGCTCTGCGAAAGACATAAAATTTACATCATTCAATAACAAAAACTTGCATACTTGGTATCGCTACACACCACTTTACATTGTTTTCTTCTGTACCAACTAAATCAAGAATGCCTATTACCGATAAAATTAAAGCTACGCGATGCCAAAATGGTTAACTATGGTTGCACGTATCTAAGCACCACCACTACCACCACCATCGCCACCGCCGCCACCACCACCACCACGCCAGCACACACCACACCACCGCCGCCACCACCGCACCACCACCCACCACTGCCACCACCACCCCGACACCGCAGCCCACCGACCACAACCGCAGCAGCCACCAGCACCACCAACCATACACCGCCACCGCCACCCTACGACCACCACCAGCAGCCGCACTGCAGCACTGCAATGCCACCCAACACTGCAAGTGCCACCAGCACCACCACTCACCACCACCACACAACCGCCACCACCACCACCCCACCCACCACCACCACCCACCACCACCACCACCACCACTACCACAGACTTCGCCCGCCACAACCGCCACCGCCACGCCTCCTCCACCGCCACGGCGGGGGCCCTCCGCCACCGCCATCACCAGCCAGCATATCGCGACGTCTCTTAGTTCCTTGCCTCACCGTCTTGTATGTTGGCGCCGGACGACCACGCCATCGCCAGAACCACGGCTCCGTGTGAGCTGGGACGAAGCGTTCGCTGGCCTCCGACTGTCGCTGTCCGAGATGCCGCTAGCATCCCTCGTGCCACGGACACGCCGCAGCGGCTCACACTCGACGATCTCGTCCGGAGCGGCTTCGCTTGCGACGGACGAAAAACAAGTGAACAACGACGGCGGGACGCTGCTGCGATGAGGGAAGCGACAGCAACGAAGCGACGAGGAAGCACGGATGAGGAGCGGAAAGGCGAATGGACTGTCTCGTAATTTACGCTGATGGGCGTGAATTTGCGCATCAGACGATGCTAAGCTTGCATTGTCGCGTCAGAAGTGATCGATTTTTCAGATTAAGTTCTCTTCAATTAAGCAACCAAATGTGTGTGAATCCATGAACGTTGCTTATCTGCCATCAGTTTCAACTTATATAATTATAAGTCGTTATAAAATGATAAATGCTATGTAAATTACGAAAAGATGCGTTCAATCGCGCACCTTTCTGGAAGCATGTCCATTCGTTACGAAAGTGCAGAGTAGCACGATCAACAAATCAAGGGTGAGGAAATGAGAAGACCTAACTCTAACAGTATTCACACGATGCCTGTGTTTAGCAGTGCCAGGTGTGTAAACGTACCTAATGTCACCTAAACACTTACAGCGGCACGATCCTCACATCCGCAGGGGTGCGTTCCTCCTCGCTTCTCCGCTCGCAACTCTGTAAATGTTCTTGATAAATATTTGCGTGACAATGTATACAAGTCCTGGCATCCCTGAAAGATTTCTGGCATCAGTGCACTATTTATACACCACTTGTGTGCTCAACAGGCTCACGCACAGCATTGCACAACACAACACACACACACACACACACACCACACGCACGCACACACACGCACGCAGAGCGCACACACACACACACACGCACGCACACACACATCGCACGCAGGACGCAGCATGCACGCGAAACAACAAATGCACACACGGCACGCACGCATGCACATCGGACACATCACGACGCACGCACGCACCACACACACGATACACGTGCATACGTTGCTGGCCTTCTCCTTACCCTGAGACACGAGTCAGTGCTGCATGCCTCTCTTGGCCTTTTCTAGCAGCTCTGATATTGATCATTGTCCTTCATGTAGACGACCTCCACTCGTGATGTCATAATCTTCCTCTCAGCGACCTTAACCTTCTGAAATTCCAAACAGCAGTAGCTGAATACGTTAGCGCAGGATAGTTAGAATAAGAGTCTTCGTTTGCTTCTTGAAAGTGATTCAACACTCACTAGAATTGGATCTGCTGAATCTACGGAATTCTCTTGAATGTACTTATACAGACATTTCATGCACCTGAGTCGCACAACCACAATAATGAACAACAAGGAAAATGTCATGAGCTACCCTGCTTACGCGTTATAATATTAGCCATAAGCCCAATCTACATCAACTTCAAAACTTCCATGGGCAACAATATTGTTACAGAATTCGGATTTCAAGTGGAAGGTGACCTGCTGACTCATATGAATACATAAAATTCAAGTACCTCATACTCTGTGTCGTCCGTTACCACTTCTTTGGATTCCATCATGTTCATCTTTAGTCATCCTATCATCTGAACAATTCTCTGCCATGGGAAAGAATACAATCACAAATATATTAGATTATTATGTTATTTGATGGATCGATGTGCAGAGTTTCAAGCAAACTAGTAAATATATCGCTGACTTCCCGATTAAAAAATAAGGTGTTAACCTTCCTCATGCCTGCCCTGGTCATCTGTTTAAACATTTACCTCACTTTCGATTGCCAGTTTCGGAAATCCACTGTTCTTCATGTCGCTGTCATCTAGAGCCACCAAATTTCACCTGCAGTCAGATGACTCTCAACAGGCTTGACTGTTTACGTTGTTTTCGCAGTCTCTACTGTCTGAAAACTGAACAGTTAAACACTCGTCAGCATGGCTGCATTGAACTAAGCATGGGGTTGGGTGCTGCCATTAACGGTACTTAAACGTACGCTCATAGGGTCTTATGTCACCAGGGTTACTGGCCAAGAAGATTAACCTGGGTACGCTCGGGTATACGCGCGAACGTACCCTGGTAACTATCTGATATAGTCTGAGGTTAGGGTCTAGGGCAGTAGCGTAGGCCGATGCCCTAGGACCGCTTAGTGGGCAGTAGGCGAGGTACTTAGGGGCTGAAGTAGTTTCGCGACCAAAAACCGTATTGCAATATATTGCAATACGACAAAACCGTATTGCAATATTTTCCAATACGTATTGGGAAGTGTATACCATGCTGCATGCATGATATAGTAACAATTTGATGGTTTTAATATCATCATATATTGTATTATATGACATGATTTAATTTCTCATGTTTTTCTTGAGAAACAGAAGCACGGCAATGTTTTCCGCTGACAGTGCAGCCCTCTGTGCCGTAACAATGTCACCCGCTGTACTGAATACCCTCTCGGAAGGCACTGATGTAGCTGGAATACAGAATACCCCTGCTGCATAATTGGCTAATACTGGATACTGAAACTGAAACTGAAACAGTGGGTGCTTGCTTCAGCTTGTATCGTGCGCGCGCGGGCACTCAGGTGAGCATAGGCTATATATATAAACTCCCTAGTTGCCGTGCTCTGTGCCTCGCGCACACGTCTGCCCCACTCTGCCCGCGCAGTAGTACCGCGCAGTGCTCCATGCAGTGGTCGCTTACCAGTAATACTGTATGCGTCGTGCAGACATTGTGCTTTCGTAATATATACACCGCCAGTGCATAATTTTCGAGCCCATTAACAATATAGACATAAAGGCAAGTGTCAAGTAATTGTATTTCTTGTTATACCACCGTATCGTAAAATATCGATATCCGAAAGTTGTATCGCGATATATCGAGTTTCCAAAATATATTGCAATATACCGATATACCGGTATATCGTTACACCCCTACGAGGTACGGTCCGGCATATTAGATAGTACCAAGGTACGCTCCGGCAGTACCCTGGGAGACATAGATCCTCTCAGTTTAACTTACGGGTAGCGTATAACAGCAACCACTGTTCGCTCGGCATGAGACTTTATTTACTAAACTAAAGCTGTACTACTACTACAGACTACATACATACAGTGCTATATCTATCACCTTATGTATTGTGACTTTTCATTCTAATATGTATCGTTGTATACTGAATGTAAATATTAAAATATGTCTTGTGCACAAATAATTTTTTTTTGAATCTGGAATCTACAGTACTGGCAGCGCCAGTGGCGCGGAGAGGGTCTATGTCCCCCAGGGTACTGCCGGAACGTACCCTGGGTACGGTCCGGTACACCGGAACGTAACCTGGTACTATCTAATACTAATATATGGGGTAATAGTAATAACTAATATGCCGGACCGTACCTCGCCTACTCCACTAACGAGTCTAGGGAGTCGCCTACGCCTACTCCCTAACCCTAACCATATCAAATAGTTACCAGGGTAAGTTCCGGTATACCGGACCGTACCAAGGGCGTGTGCAGGATTTGTACCAGGGGGGAGGGGTCTAACCGTAACCCAAACTTACGAGCACGCGAAGGGGGGGACTGGGAAGCCCTCCCCCAGAATTTTTTTGAAATTAGACCCCCTTAGATGCGTTTTCTGCGCGAGCAGGGGAAGGGTCAGACCCCCTTGACCCCCCCCGTACACGCCCCTGCGTACCCAGGGTATAATACCTACCCTCCATTACCCTATGGGTAATATACCCAGGTAACAAATTAAATACGGGACGTCTGGTCACCCTGATTGCTAGCTAGCTGCACTGGTGCTCACTGTTTCGGATCCGAAGCGAAACTGCCAGCGTTCGAAAGTTCGCGTAGAATAACTGAACTATTCCATGAAGATGATCAGTATTTTAATCCGAAGTGTAATATTAGTGCTTTGTAAGTTTATTTATGCATTTAATTTCTCTGTCTCTTTACGCAACGAAATATTGAACTTAGACATGGCTGCTTTTTCTTTTTAAATG